TTGTCTCTCAACCAAACTGATACAACTTCTATTAAAACAAAGTACAAAGTCCATTTCTTTAAAAACAAAAAAAAATGTTGAATAAAAGTAAATTATATTTACATATTTAAAATTTGAGTTCAAATCGTGCGGTTGGTACGAAGTGAGAAATAACCAGGGGAATTTAGGACCCGTTTGTCCATAAAAAGAAAATTCTTTTTTGAATTTTTTTTTCAAAAATATGTTTTGTCCATGAAAGTTTGCAAATTTATAAAAAAAGAAAATCGAAAATGAATCTACCTATATCTATATCTATCTATCTATGTATATACTATATTAAAAGCACAACCTCTTAGCGAAATATTATTCGCCGTTTTTGTCCTTTGAAAATAGAGTTCACATTGTACAAGATGGTCACTAAATTATATTCTTAACATTTAGGAATTTAAAATCAAATAAAATTTTAATTATTAAATCTTTGCAAGCACATGAAACTCCTAATAATTAAAATTTTAAAATCATAAATAATCTACCTAATATAAATCTTACTCTCACATGTCTTATTTTGCATCCAAGATACAGATAAACTAATAGTATGATTGTTCTCATCAAGGGATTTAGCTTCTGAGATATGATCATATTAATAGTCAAAAGAGTTATCACATTGTCTCTCAACCAAATTGATACAACTTCTATAAAAACAAAGTACAAAGTCCAATTCTTTAAAAACATAGAAAATTTATTGAATAAAAGTAAATTATATTTACATATTTAAAATTTGGTACAGTCGAATATTAAAAATTAAAATCAACAGATAATAAATAATTTTGTTAATATTAAGAACAAATAATTAAGTATTTGAATTGGCTAATTCAGAAAAATATTTAACTTTTCTTAATTCATCATATAAGTAAAATTATTCTTTAGATTGATACAAAATTTATTGTTAGACTACTAGCAATGAGAGAATTGAGTAACAGCTTGTTTGGATGGTTGTTACGTATCGTTTCATAATGTATCGTATCGTATTGTATTGTATTGTACTGTATCGTTTGATGAATACATTGTTTGGATGAATTGTATCGTTTTGGCGTCGTTTCATGGTATCACACACCTGTGATATGATGAATTAACTTGCAATATTATAAAGAAAAATTATGATACGGTATATAAAAAGGTAGGGTAAATGATAAAATAAAATTATTTAATAATAATGAAGGGTGAGATTGAGAGAAAACACGAGGAAACGACGCGACCACACCAAATCGGTCGTTACGTAAAGTGGCACATTTCATCGTTACGTAACGACGGATTTAACGATACGATACAATAAAATTTAAGTAACAATCAAAACAAACATTATATTTAAAGTAACAATACGGTACGATATAATAGGTAACAACCATCCAAACAAGCTGTAAGAAAATAGAGAAAAATTATTAATGTATACTATTAAGAGTCAACTTGATTAAAATGCAAACTTGAAGAAAGGTAGAATACAAAATATATTATATGTATACACTACCCTCCTCAAACCTCACTTTGTGAGTTACACTTGATTTGTTGTGTTGTTGTTGTATGATTTATTTCCTTAGTGAGTTAGCTAAATAGGATCACAATTTAATACCATTTTCATAAACTTATGATTTATTTCGTTAGGTTCTATTTTATAACTCAAATATATTTTTTGAATATCATTTACGTGAGTTCTAAAAACTTGTGTCGTTCGTCTTTTATTCCTTTAAAAATTAAGTTAACACTGGAAAAATAGATAGATTTTTAAAATCAACTAATATTTTATTTATTAACTAAGTTTTTTTCTTATTTGAACTACTTAGGACTTTAAAATTAATTCAAATATACTTTGTAGTAATTTATTTCCTATTCTTCTGTAATAAATGTGTTATTACTCAAAACCTATTTTAGGCGACACTAGACTAATGTACTATGAAACCATATGCTTAAGAGACAACACATATTCCTTCGTACTTTCTCGATACGTGCCAATTAAAGATTATTCTTTTATTATTTGAATTAGGTAACAGAATCATTCTTTCTATCAACCGGAAAACGTCAAAATCTATCCATTCCGATCTCTATATCAAAATCTCACCTATCAACCGAAAAATGCCAAAATTTCACTTTCGCCAATTCAAGCCTAAATTTACTACGGACCTCCAAAACACATTCCGATCACGCTCCTAAGTGCCAAATCACCGCCCGAAGCTATCCGAACCATCGAATCTCACATCCGAGCCCTCTAACACATAAGTCAACATCCGGTTGAGTTTTCTAACTTAAGCTTCCTCAAAAGAGACTAAGTGTCTCAAACCTTACCAAAACCTTTCCGAACCTGAGCCAACCAGCCCGATCACACATATGACCGATATACAAAGCAATAAGAAGCAGAAATGGGGGAAACGGAGCGGTAATTCATAAAACGACCGGCCGGGTCGTTACATCCTCCCCCTCTTTAACAAACGTTCGTCCTTAAATGGGTCAAGAAACATACCTGAAGCCCCAAACAGGTGAGGATATCTGCTCTGCATCTCCCGCTCGGTCTCCCAGGTAGCCTCCTCCAGGGCCGACCTCTCCACTGCATTTTCACTAAAGTTATATCCTTTGATCTCAACTTTCGAACCCGACGCTCCAAAATAGTTGTTGGCTCCACATCATAAGTCAGATCACCATCTAACTGAACCGTGCTGAAATCCAGAACATGAGACGGATCCCCAATATACTTCGAAGCATAGAAACATGAAATACTGGATGCACACTCGACAATCTAGGTGGCAAAGCAAGCTCAAAAGCCTCCTCCCCAATCCTCCGAAGTACCTCAAAAGGCGCAATGAACCGAGGACTCAATTTACCCTTCTTCCCAAATCTCATAACACCCTTCATGGGCGAAACCTTCAATAGAACCTTCTCCCCAACCACTACTAGAAAATGGCAGATTTCCGACGGCCAAAACGATCGGAATTCGGTCGGAAATCACGTATTTCCGACTACTTTCCGACCGAATTTGGTCGGTCGGAAAATAATTTCCGACCGAATCCGTCGGTGATTTCCGACTAAAGTAGTCGCAAATTTTGAAAAGGTCAGACTACCAAATAATTCGCCTTTCCGACTAAAGTGGTCGGAATTTACCGACTGAATCGGTCGTAATATACAAGGAAAATTAAAAATTAAATATTAAATTTTATTTATTTTCCGACGGAATCCGTCGAAAACTGTTGAATATTAATTTATTTTTTTTTTGCAATTTCCGACCGAATCTGTCGGAAATTAATAATTAAAAATTAAATTTTATTTAATTTCCGACGGAATCCGTCGAAAATTTCTGAATATTAATTTTTTTTTAAAAAATTCCGACCGAATCAGTCGAAAATCTGACAATTTATTGTTAAATCTGGGAAACTTTTCGACTGTTTTAGTCGAAATTTTGTACAAAACTGGGCAGAATTCTGCCCAATTTCGAGCTACACCACCTGTCAAACTATCACAAACAAAAAAATACCAACCAACAATCTAAACCAACGATACATTAATACAATAATACGAACTAACAATACATTAACACTATCTAAATTAACAATACATTAACAAATTCTAAACCAACAATGCCAACTATTAACACAACTTAAACCAACAATACCAACATTTAAACCTAACAATTTTGGGCATTAAAACATCCAAATAGCAGCCCATATTCAAGTTTAAAAACAATACATAAAGTTGTCTCTCACAATCAAGTTTACCAATCAACCAAAACATCACAACTAAACTACTACACATCAGATTCAGTTTGTTCATCCTCATCATCAGATAAATCATGCCCATGTTTACGCAAGAATTTCTGCATCTTAACAAATGTTCCGTATTGGGAGTCCAATTGTTGCTTCAATCCATGAATTTCGTTTCTCATATCTTCCATCTGTTCTTGATTTTGAGGAGAAGAATTGGCTAAGAGTGGGTTTGGATGACCTGTAGGTCGATGTACTCCTAGTCCGTAGACTCTGCCTTTGTTTGCTCCACCCGCTGCCTCTGTCCACAATGAAGCCATATCATCAGGTGTTGGTTGAGTTGAAGGAGGCTGAGTTTGTTGCCATTCTTCCAACCTTTTATGATAATCGTCCTGAAATGAAAAACATAACTATTATGTAAACAAACTAATATTAATAAACCATAAATAATTATGAAGTTAGAATTTTACATATGTGTCTGACGCAAGCGTCTCCACCCAGTGTTCTCTTGTACCATCCTTTTTCTTTTTCTTATGCAACTCCTCGAAGACCTCAGCGTAACTCACATCTCGCCCTCTTTCCTTTTCCTTCATAAGAAAAAGTATGAGTTAGACTTTACAAACATAAAATTCTATATGTAAAACTAAGAAATTTTTTATAAATAATTAACATTCTTAGTTCATGGGCCTCAAAGGATCAATTTCGCCTCCATCGTCATGCCGATTCGGTCTATTTCTCAAACATGGCACATCATGTTCAAAATAGTATGAACAGAAATAAGATGTTTCTTTAGCCACATATGCCTCGCATATCGAACCTTCAATTCTTGATCTATTTTTTATGGTCCGTTTACATTTTCCAATAGTCCTACATAGTGTTATTTTTAGACAAAACAATCTTTATAGCAAATACAAAAGGTAAATGATTAAATTTCTTACCTCTCGAAGGGATACATCCATCAACATTGAACTGGCCCTCCAAGTCGTGCCTCTTGTGCAAGGTGAATTGGAAGATGTTCCATTGCATCAAAAAAACCAAGAGGGAAAATTTTTGCTAGCTTGTTTAAAGTTAAGATAATGTTACTCTCCATATAAATTAAGTTATCCACCCTCAATGTGCTAGAACACAAATCCTTGAAAAAACAACTTATCTCTGTAATCGGTTTCCATATTCGATCAGGCAATGCATTGAACGCAATAGGCATCAACGCTTCCATGAAAATATGACAATCGTGGCTTTTCATTGACGCCAACTTCCCTTCTTTCATGTCAATCGTGGCTAATCATCAGGCATCCTCAAATTGTTAACCCAACTACAAATCTCTCTTCTCTCATCCAAGCTGAACGTGTAACTGGCTTTGGGCTTCTGTATCTTGTTGTTAAAGTATGTCAGATTCAACTCACTTCGCCTACAATATTCCTTTAAGTCCATCCTGGCCTTCAAGTTATCTTTGGTCTTGTTAGTAACATCCATAATAGTGTTAAACAAGTTGTCAAAAAAATTCTTCTCGATATGCATGACGTCCAGATTATGCCGAAGAAGATTGTGCTTCCAATAAGGTAATTCCCAAAATATGCTCCGTTTAGTCCAGTTGTGTGTGACACCATAACCTGGTATCTTAGATGGTGGAGACTCTGTTACTTTAGGCATATCCCTTACTCTGTTCCAAATTTTTTCTGAACACAAGCAGGCTGGTGGCTCCTCAAAATCAGTTCGGTTCTTCATTAATGCACTTGTATTTCGCCTAAATTCATGATTCATTGGCAAGAATCTATGGTGGCAGTCGAACCATGTATTTTTACCTCCATGTTTCAAAGTAAATGCTTTAGTGTCTTCCATACAACAAGGGCAAGCTAACTTTCCAGCAGTCGACCACCCGGACAACATTCCATAAGCAGGAAAATCATTTATAGTCCACATCAAAGCAACATGCAATCTGAAGTTTTGTTTGGTTGATATATCATATGTTTCCACACCTTGATGCCATAATAATTGTAACTCATCAATCAAAGGCTGCAAGTATACATAAATCAAACTTTTCGGATTGCGTGGACCTGGAACAATACAAGTTAGGAACAGATATGGACTTGTCATACACAACTCTGGCGGAAGATTATATGGAGTAACAAACACCGGTCAACATGAATATGGTGCAGCAGAGACAGCAAATGGAGTAAATCCATCTGTGCATAGTCCCAACCTAATGTTTCTTGGTTCACTAGCAAACTCGAGGAACACCCTATCAAAATGCTTCCACGCTTCTCCATCTGACGGATGGCAGAGTATACCATGTGGCCTTCTATGTTCGTAGTGCCATCTCATATGAGGAGCAGAGCTCATTGATGCATACAACCTCTTTAACCTAGGTATAAGAGGTAAGTAATGCATCACTTTAACTGGAACTTTCTTTTTTGTATTGGCATTTGTGACTTCCTTAAAACGAGGCTGATTACAAAACTTACAGTTCTCTAGAGATGCGTCATCCTTATAGAATAACATGCAACCTTTCTCACAACAATCAATTCTCTCTGATGAAAGACCCAACTTAGAAACCAATTTTTTAGCAGTGTAGAAATCTTTTGGTAAGTCAATGTTACTCGGATTAAGTTTATTCATAAGCCCAATAATAGAATCCATGCCCGCTTGGGAAATAGATCTATCCGATTTAATACTTAGCAATCTAACCGCAACAGACAACTTGGAATGCACCGAACCTTCATACAATGGACGACTAGCTTCTAGTAACTGTCCATAGAAACGCTTAGCCTCATCATTTAGTTCGGATTGAACCCCAGGAAACGTCCCAAAAGCATCCCTCATCATTTCATTGTATCGAGAATTTTCAACATTATGCTCCGAAATGGGGATACCCTCACCACCAAAAGAATTATGAAAGTTAGCATCATCTAAACTATCATGATTCTCCCCGTGAGCAGTCCATATATAATAAATTTCTACAAACCCTTTCTTGTAGAGATGGACTTTAACTTCGTCTGATGTCAATAACTTAACACATTTACATTTCACACAAGGACACCTAATCCTCCTCCAATAATAAAATCATCAAGTGTTTGAGCCTTAGCAATAAATTCAGCAACCCCTTCAATAAATTCATCGCTCAACCCCGCACGATTAGGATGATTCCTATTATACATCCATCTACGATGCACAAATTCCATCTACACAAATAGAAATCTATAAATGAGATATTTAAAATAATTTGATTTATTTAAACTGGTTACAAAGTTATATTCTTTCAAAGGTTCCTTTTAGAAATATACATATCATTGTGTCAAAGCACTTTAATTAATATATTTTATTCTAAATTAATATTTTAAACACTCGAAATCTCACAATAATCCCTATTCTAAATAATATAAGTCTTTATATATACTAATTAAATTTGAATAGCTTCTTAAATGTTCATATAATCTAAATTAATTAATGATTTCTCAAACAAAAGAAATAGTCGTAACTAACAAGTGGAAGTATTTTTATTTGGTATTGAGGAGGACAAAAGGATCAGATAGAATCTTGAAAACTGAAAGATCCAAAAGATAATTAGCTTTCTGTCTAAAGAGTTTTAACAAGATCACTTTCAACACCAGAATCTTCAGTCTACCACTTTAAAAGAATGTAAAGAGGAAATGTAACAGAAGCGCCAATTAGAGTCATTATCATCAATGACAATAGCTTTGACTCACAAACTATAAATCAAGTTTGACAACACCTCCAAAACAATGGAAATATAGTACCTCTAATCCCTCTTATCTTCACCCATGACCCAATGGAAAAAACAAGGGACATACCTCTAACCCCTCTTATCTTCACCCATGACCCAACTAAGTATCGTGTAAGCTCATTTTTTTCGGGATAATAGTACTGTTCGAACTAGCTAGCACACATTTATAACTATTCTATCGAGTACCTCCCACCTCCCACTAATAGAGATACCGATAATTCTACTCACCAAGTCTTATAAGAGATCACCTAGAGAGTTTTGTTCTATTGAGATTTGAACCTTGCTCTCCATGGTTTTCACTCACTTCTTTGACTATTAGGCCACACCCTTGAGCATAAGCTCTCGTTGGATCGAATGAGATAATATCCCAACAAGGGTTTTACACCATACACGAACTAAAACAAGTTAAGAGTTCAAGTTTACTTAATACTTCTGATTTGATAACAATTAACCTAACTCTCTGCCCTAAGCATTCCTGTCTCAAAACACCTTTTTGATTCAACAACACAGCTAAATTGTCCCAATAGACATTGCATCTTAAAGTAAAATCTTTAGTACATCAACTAGTCAAAACTAACAAATGGAACTACAAAACTAGCAGGGTATAGTACTTCATCAACTCAATAATTTGTTTGGTAAAATCCTTCTTCAAGAATTTGCAAAACCAAATCAGCAAATTTACACCAAACACAGGAAAACACACACACACACACGCACGCACATATGCTCAGCACAAATATAAAGAAAGATGGTGTAAAATAATGAAAATACAAAATATATAAACCTGTAATGAAGAAGGGAAAAATAGTACCTCTAACCCCTCTTATCCTCTGACGGAGCTTCAGCGGGTGGTGGCAGTGGAGACGGAGTCTCGACGGAGCTTCAGCGACGCCGCTGGTTGGTGGCAGCGGTGGGTTTGGGTGGGGGAAGTTTGAGTGAGAGAGAGAAGAGAGAAGGAAGAAAAGAGGGAAAGGAAAAGAAAGAAGTGCGCTGGTAGGGTTTAAAAAAAATATTTACAACTGATTCGGTCGCTAATTTGGTCAAAGCAGTCAACGTCACTTTATTAAAAATTTTCGACCGAATCGGTCGCTATTTTTTTTTATTTAAAAAAAAAAAAAATTATTTCGGACCGAATTGGTCGCTAAAGTGGCGCGGAATTTTCCGCCAAAATTTACGACGGATATAGACGGAATATTAGTCGTAACTATTAGTAAAAATTGAAAAATAAATTTTTATGTATTTTCCGACTGATTCCATCGGAAATTTCCGACTACTTTTTTCCGTCGGAAATTTCAGTCGAAAATTGGCCGTTTTTTAGTAGTGAACCATGTAGGACACATCCCGAACCTTCCTGTCAGCATAGCTCTTTTGTCTCGACTGCGCTGTACGAAGCCTCTCTTGAATCACCTTCACCTTGTCTAAAGCATCCTGCACCAAATCTGTTCCCAATAGCCTGGCCTCGCCCGGCTCAAACCAACCAACTGGAGATCTACACCGCCTCCCATACAAAGCCTCATATGGAGCCATCTAAATACTAGACTGGTAACTGTTGTGTTACACCCCGCAATATTACATCAATATTACGTCCCGCAGTATTATATTACGATAATGTTATGCTCTGCAGTAATATGTTACGATGGTGTTACCCTCTGCAGTAATATATTACGATGATGTTACCACCTGCAGTATTAAGTTACGACAATATTCTACCCAGCAGTATTACATTACGGAGATGTTACGCTTCGCAGTAATAAGTTACGACAGTGCACCCTGCAGTAATAAGTTACGGTGATGTCGCGCTTTGCAGTAATAAGTTACGATAGTGTTACACCCTGCAGTAATGTACGTTGGATTTATCGTAAGGTAATTGACATCAGTCCAAGGAAAAGATTATTTGGAGATTATAAGGATTATGCTATTTCAAACAAGTGATGAGTAAATTCATGAAGGTGAAAGGGGGAGCAAGTCTAAGAAAACGAATTTTTGTCGAAGTTTGGCATTTTGCGGTAAAATACAGTCCGAGCTAAAATACCCGGTATTAATGGACCAGTGACATGCAAGGAACTACATGCCCATGCTAGAAAGGTGTATAAGGTATATGAAAAGTGAGTAAGATTTTAAGTAAGTGGGAATAATTCTCAATTTTATGGGTAATTGGTTAATTACCGAATACGGGATATTACCCGATTAACTAATAAGTGAATAAAAAGTTAATAAATTAACCACCCCACCCACGTGGCACAAGGCCACTAATTAAAGAGGATGGCTCATTACATATTGGTATAGGTGTCTAAGTGACTTAAATGTGTAAGTCTTGTAAAAACTTGTAAGAATCTTATCCAAAAATCATTTAATGTCTTAGGTTCAAAAACGTCCAAGCTTCAACAACTCGTTTAAAGCTTCATTTTCAAATCAGATCAATTCTTTCCAAACTTCAACATTAATCCTTCAATATTTCGTTTCGACATAGATTTAGTTGAAATTTGAAAAAATAATTTTTAAAGTAGTTTTAAAAAATAATTTTTGGAAGTTGAAATTATGTTTGGACATGCATTTTATTTGAAAAAAAATTGAAGTTTTGTGAGTGGGAGAACAAGTTTCACCTAAAATCTACCCTAAACTAGATTTTGGGAACTTGAAAAATTATTTCAGAAATTTTTCAAAAATAGATCATTAATCTATGAACAAACAATGTTTTCAAAAAAAATTTGAAAAAACGGTGCCAAAATGTATGGCCAAACGGGGCCTTAAGGAATCCAAACGTTTTCCTCTCAATTCCAAGGAAACCAAAAGTGTGATTTCGTTCAAGAATTTTTTTTTAGGGACCAGAAAACAGTTTTCGTCCAAACTTCAACCAATTAAGCAAATTTCGTTCAACATTTTGAAGCAGAAGCAAATTTCAAATTTCAAACAAACTTTTCCTTCTTAGTTTGAAAGGTTACAAGACTAACTTTGATAAAGGAAACACGTTAGAAGTCAGGAGCTTCTTTCCAAGCATTTCGTTCAAATTAAAAAAAACGCAAAAGCTTCATTCTCTCGTTACAGCATATTTCACAGAAGCAGAAGCTTTACTTCATTCGAATAATTCAAGGAACAGGTATGTTAAGGCTAAGCTTCGTCCTTCCTTTTTGCACGAATTCTTGGAAATTCCTAAGACGTCAAATGTGATATTTTACTATTCTATTGCTAGAAAGACCTTCTGTGAAAGGCATTGGGATCTTAGCTGAAGTATTTTCATGATGCTATTAGGTTGATATTCCACTCGTTCGGTTAAATAGGGTATTCGACATCTATATATATCATTTTGTCGGCTTTCTTAACTATATGTCTATATATATGAATTCTTATTCGTCTTGGGTTGTGTGACTTAAAAAAATAAAGGCATTTAGTATTTGCGATCAGTCCTTCTTCCTTTTTAAAGTGTATTTTAAAATCTCTAAAGTGGCACGTCGATTTCCAAAAATCTCAAAATATAATTTTTATGTTTAAACTACTAAAACACTTGATTTTTAAAATACTTTCTGTTACTAATTATCAAGAAATCAGGTATATGGACAGTGAAGTACCTTAAGCTTTTTATGAACATCTTTAGAGTTAAGTTATCTTTCTAAAAGTCGAGTTAAGTTTCCAAGCCCGAAAAAAAAACATATGAGGTTCCACGAGACAATTGTATGCGATACGAAGGGGATTATGAGATTATGAGAATAAGAGTACCAATGAGCCAAGATTGGCTAAGTTCTTGTTATGGCCTATTATGTGCATTCAAAGTTCATATCATACATGGCATATTATGCATGGACTTCGAGCTATAATTGGAGGTAAGTGGCCTATTTGCCCGAAAGACTATATGTATTGTACAGATGGCCACAGGTTGGCAATATGATACCGGTTAGCTACCTGAAGAGACCGCCATTGCTAGCATTTGGTTGGGTATGTCATGCATTTGCATCAATATATATGTATTCATGACATACGATTACACGAGCATACCATGCATATTTGATTACTACGAGGTGGGATGTCGGCCATGGAGGCTATCAGAGTTTCAGTGTCAGGTGGTATCTCTATTACTTTTTTTTTTCATCAGCTACGTATGATTCTAGTTTCTGCCTTACATACCAGTATATTTTTATTCGTACTGATGTCCCGTTGCCTGGGGACACTGCATTTTTGTTTCGTGCGTGCATGTCTAGGTAGGGACTCTGATCGACCCCTCCGCTAGGATTTCGGGGTTCAGCTGTGAGTTGGTAAGCTCCACCTCTTCATGGAGCTGTCACAGGATGGTTACCTTTGTTGTACAGTTTGGGTATAGTTGGGGCCTTATCCCAACAGTGCTTGTGACACTCTTAGAGGCTATTCTGGACACAGTATTCTGAGTTTCTTTTTGCAGCTTTCAGTCTCCAGCCCATAGGCTTGGCATGTATATATATATGTGTG